AAAGCAAAAATACAAAAACCAAAAAACAATCTCCTATATATAAAAAGAGAAGTCGCTTTAATGAATTTTGCTTACGTGTCATTCATAGGTGCAATGTAGAATTAATTCTCTTAATTTGATTGGTTATTTGAATTTAAATTTTTATTTATTTAATTAAAGTTTTTTAAAAGGAAACTAATCCTAGAATTACCTAATCTAATATATATTACCAAACAAACAATTAATCATCTTAAATACATATGATTAATAGAATTTGTTTATAGAAACAATTAAATATCACATATTCCATTATAAAAATTTAGAATATACATATAAATACATATTATATTATAGAAATAAGTATATAAACGATTTTAAATTTTTTTCTATTAATAGTGGATAAAACATCATACATTACAGAAAACTAATAATATTTTTATACTCGCTCACTATATATATATGTATTCTTAAAATATGTTCAATGAATGCAAACACTCAAATGTAAAATTTTAAAAATATTCTATCATTTTCCAGAGATAAATGTCGATAGTATAGTTGAGTTATCAATTTTCAAAAATTATTTAAGTATTTTTATATTTAAAGCAGAAAATTATATGGTATGTCATTTTAAAAAATATGAATAAATGAAAAAAATTATCATACTATAAAATTAAAAAAAAAATCGAAACATTATATTAATACAAGACTAGAGTTAATATTCTATTCATAAAATTCATATAGCTTTAAGTATAATAAAATTGGCATGTTTATTTTTAATAATAAAAAAAAAAGAAAAGAGAGATAAATAAAAACATGAGTGAATAATAATAAAACCTTTTGTTGTATTCTTCATTATTTTGTATTTGTACATACATAATTTTTTATTTGTATACCAAAATATTTTTACATATTAATAGAATTGTAAACTAATTATTTTTAGGTGTTTATACAACATAAAGAAAAATTGAGAAAGGAAGATAAATATAAATGATAAGTTATAAAATTGTTAATGTTGAAGATACAAAAATAACGCAAATAAAACTTGAAAATAAATTATTTTAAAATAATGATAAGTATTTTTTGCGGTGTATAAACTTTTAAAATATATGATAACAAAGTTATAACAAAATTTATACAATTAGAAACATGTTATTTTTATCTATCAAAACTGTTGAATCTCATGTTTTATATTAATCTATGTATAAAATAATGACATCACATCATTTAAGAATTAAGATATTTTATGTTATATAATTATTTAATAAAATTTAGTTTTTTTAAATACAGTTATTTAGATTTACTTAAAATATGTATGTAATGAAGTAATTAAAAAAACAAAATTAATAATAAGATACTTATTTTTTCAATGAAAATCTTGGTCAAAGAAATCAATGTTTGATAAGATAGTGTGAAGATTAGAGAGAATTTGATAATGAATTTTTTTGGTTAGCCAATTGTGATTTTATATTAAATTCTAAATAAAAAAATATGTAAGAAAGGGAGAAAGAGAGGGAGATATGGTGATGATAAGGATTAGAGAGTCGGTTATGATCATAATAATGATGAAAGTGAATATAAGTGAGAGACTGAATATAAGTGAGATAGATTCTGAAATCATTTATTAATACTATGTGAAAGTGTTTTGAAGATTTAACAAAATCTGGTGAAAATTTTACAACCAAAGAGAGATAGAAAGAGTTTAAAAGTGAAATATTGAGGATCATATTAAGGACGAGGGTAAGAGAATGAATATAGGTGATTGTGAGAGAGTAAATGTAAGTTTGAGAGATTTTGAGATTATTTGATCAACTAAGAGAGAGAGAGAAAGAAAAGGAGAGCGAGAGAGGTGTACAGAGACATACAAAAATAAAGAGAGATAGATAAGAAAGAAAACGAATGTGTGAAAAAATACAAGGAGAAACGAAATGAGTAAGATAGAAAAATATATTAAAAACAAAGTATCTATGTAAAAGAGAAAGAAAGTTACAATATATTTATACATTTATATTATTTTTTATTCATGCAATGTATAGATTATATTAATGTCCGTACAGACGTGCGAGCCGTCCACCTAGTAATAATAAAAAAACAATCATAGCATAACGGTTTTTAGAATGTTTCTGCTGCTACCAATTCATCTTGGATTTAGAAGTCAGTCGCTTCTCTAACTTCGCCCGCTTATAAGGGAGGGACCGCACTGAACCCGCTCCAAATTAAGTTATATTAAGTAGGCTGGACACAAATGTTTCGTACTTGGATTATAGTTGCCATTTGATTCGGTTTGATTTGAAAAATAAATATTTGCTCCATTCAAGTTGAGTAACAAATAAACGGATTTTATTATTCTCAAATACAAGTCAAGTATCAATTTTCATTTTAACTACTTGGTTTATTACTTGTTATTCTTTACTTGTTATTTATCATATATTATTTGGTTTATTAAATACTTAATATATATTTCATTAATTAATTAAAATATATGTATTTTATGAGTGGTCACAATTATTTGTTGCTTGTCTCATGTTCACTACTTGGTTATTACACGATCCTTAAAGTCAAATATTTATTTTGACTAAGACGTGTATCAGATAGTCTATTTAAACTGTCTTTAGATACAAACAAATACAAAATAATAAAATAAAACTAATTATTCAGCATTATTTGGTTTTAATTTGTTTTTGTTAATGAACAAAAATATATTTTCTTAAATTATAGTAAAACAACTTGTTTATATTTCAATTTCTATAAGTGAATCAAACATAAGTGATATATTTATACAAACATTTTGAATTTTTTTTTCTTATTATAATTAAATCTTTTGGCCGCGCTACGCGCGGCTAGTCTTCTAAACAAATTTTCTATGATATATTGTATAATTAAAATTATAATTAAAATCAGAAGAAATAAAATGTCAAATTAAATAGAAAAGATAACGATTAACAAAATCATTGTAAAGTACGAGTTTCATAAGTAATACTAATAATGAACAATTTGTTTTATAAAATATAATTTTTTCTAGTTTTTTAACAGAACGCTCATTTTAATTTTGGTATAAATAACTTACATAATAACTACTGTAATATTTTAATCTGTAATTTTATATTGTCTATCTTCAAAAGCTTGGTAGAAAATAATCTCTATCAAAATCTGAAAATTAAGTATATAAAATGAATTGACTTTTATTTAAATTTAAAATGATCTTATATAAATTTAAGATTTATATATATTTTGTTGTTAGGAATAATATTTATTTATTCTATTTATCTATAAACTGGATGATATTAATTTATTTTACCATAAATGTTTTGAATACCAAACCGAACATTAACTTGATATTTCAGTTAGATCAATTGTTACACCTATCCAACTGAATTATAACTTTATTTTAATTTTAAATTACATATATATATATATATATATATATATGTATGTATAACTATAAATTATTTTAGAAGATTTTTTATCATTGTTTGAAGCTAAAATAACTTTTTTAGTGATTAATGTAAAATGAATCATTAGGAGAAAATGAATCGTAAATTTTGTTTCTGTTCTTTTTTCATAAACACGATAATAATGATTGACTTACTTTTCTTTTTCTTGTTAATGGTAAGGGTGTTTTCTATCCATTGTCTAAACATATAGAATTTTTTAAAACTGTTACATATTGAAACAAAAAAATATAATTCGTTAAAACAACGCCATTCCATTATTATATGCAATAACATAAAAGCAAGTGATATAATTCAAAAATAATTATAATTTTACTTATTTTTTTTGTTTTGTGAAAGAGTTACTAATTTTACTAAAATCTTACTCACTATCAAATTATTTTCTCCACTTTTTAATTAATCAATTTTCTTATGCCAAAGTTGTATAGCTATTCTTTGTTATAAGAAAAAAAATAAAATATGAATATCTCATAGTACATCAACGAATGTTTTTATTGATAACTTTAAATAGTCAATACTCTCATACCAAATAATTAGTCTATTCTAAAGTGTCTCTAAAGAATAAAAGCTCATACAACTTTAATAAAAAAAATAACATACTAACTGCATTATTTTAGTTAGGTGACCTAGCACCAACAATTTTTTTTTGTATCACGACCGAACACCAACACTATTAAACTACATTTATTCGACAATACTTCGTAGCTTTTGCTGAAAAAGGTTGGACCTTTGAGTTTTGTATGTCATATTGAACAAAACGGGACCACATGAATTTTCAACTGAAAGATGAAATAGAAATCAAATCTATAGATTCAAAATAATTTTAAGTCTCTGAAATCTCAAACTGAAGTTGACTCCTTTCTTCCTCGTTTTCAAAATCATTCAACTTTTTTCTCTCTAAGTCTCAGTTTCGTTCTACACTTAACCAGGAGCATAAAAAGAGAAAGAGAAGCTATCAGAGAACCTTATTCTCATATCTCAATCAATGCCAGCTTCTGTGTCTGCAGCATACTTGTCTTCTTATCTCCCACACCAGCAACAATTTTCCACTGTATCCATCTCTCTTTTCTGTCATTTTACTGGATTTTGTTGGTGAATGTTGTCCTCGAGCTGTCACTGGCATAAGGAATCTAACATTGATAAGTATAAGAGGTCCAATGTGTATTCTTACAAATCTAAGAGACGATAAGAAACTCCCAATAAATTATCCAGGTGACTACACAATCTCTTCAGAACATGTATATGTATCCTTACTATTCTTCTTCGATCGTATAATCAGAAACATCTATTTAAATCAAGAATTTATAAACTCAAAAAGATTATTTCTTCCCTAGGGTGAAGACTAAGAAAAGAGATAGGGGCATTCGTACATATAGTGTGCAGGTCAAACACTCAGTAGGTGTTACAGCTAGATGCGGCGCTGACAATTGTAAGAGAGTGGAGAAGATAATAACAACACCTACCTTTTCATCAATTATGAGCATCTCTAGGCCCATCACTCACCGCCATTTGACGTTACGCGTCTCCTACAAACAAAGAAGACGGTTGGCAGCCTGAGAACAATGGTTGGGTTCAACTCTTAAGCATGAGCTGACAGGGGCAGTCCCAGCTGAGCCTCTTCGATTTCACTACTACTGCTGCAGTGTCTGTAAGTCTACTCGCTCCTTCCTCCTGCCGAAGATTATCAAAACCAAGAGAAGTCATTCAAATTCAGTAAACTATCCAGAAGATACTCAAGATTATCTACATCAAACAAATAAAAACATATGTGAATTCTACCATATGTGAATCATCCAGTTATACCAATGAAAAGATTTAGAAAACTAAGCACTCCATAAAGAACTTATCCAGGAAAAGTTGGGCTTTTACAAAATATAACTAATAACTGATAATTGATATGTAACCCCATTGAAGAGAACCATTAACTTATACAAAAGATAATGATAACTATCCAAACCTATTGAATTCGCTTTTCAAAGCTATAAAATAACACAGACATAGACAATGTAAAAGCTGAAAATTTGGAAGCTTTAGAGTGGAGTAGTAACTTACACGAAGACGGTCAGCGAGAACAGAAGGCTTGATCAATTTGAACATAGGGGCTTCAGACCGAACCTTGTCGGAAGTTTCCTGATCGAAGAGAAACAATTGTTCAGCTTCTGGTTTTGCTTTCCTTAGCTCCATTAATGTCTGGAAGTAGCAACAAATACCTAAAGAGAAGGTTTTGCAAAAACAAAAGACTGCATACTCGACTTAAATACGGAAAAAGTTATGAGACTGCAACGTTTTTGATTGAAACCGAATCAATCTATTGATTTAGAGAATATGTATGGTTGCGTAACAGTGGAGATGTTCATCGCATTCTACAAACAAATATATAACCGGAGCTTATAGCGTTACACTTGACAATGGTGATGCAGATTAAATGCAAAAAAAAAGTGGGAGGAGTGATGTGAACCATGTAAATACCTGATTTCATACGATAGAACAATGATGATGTAGCCGTTACTCAGGCTTGGCCGGAGCCGATGTGTTACCATAAAACGGTTCCCAACATTTTCTTCAGAATCCTTCCATCAACAAAAAAAAAGTGATTTTGATGATGAGATTCAGATATGAAAACAATACATCCATTACTAACCTTGGTGTCAATGTCACTGAGAGGAAGGCAACTATTCTTAGTTCTTCTCCCTACGACCTTGAGTAGAATAAGCAATATGGTGTAAACAGCAGATTATACAAAAGTTAAGTGCATGTTTTTAAACATACCGTGGCCACACAAGCCTCTGAAATCTAAGTCTTATGTCGCTGTGATTAAATATCAGCCAGTTCAGACGTAGCTTCTTTCAGAGAGCTGCCATGTGAGCTTAACATATTCCTTCTTGAAAATTTTTCTGCCCGTTTGCTTTCTGAAATTTTAATTCACATTAGAATACAACACTTGATCTGAAATCGGGATCTGGGAAGCTGGAGCAACTTTTGGTGTCACCGGAGTGGGAGAGGGTACAGAAGCCTTGCCGTGAGGCTTGAAGGCAATGGCAGAGGATTCAATAGATTTTCCATCTAGCTGAGCTTTCGTGGATGAGGGGACAAAATTCTTTGTTATCGCCGGTGGGGATTGAAGGTGTGGAACTCGGATTCATGGCGGCGTCTATCAGAGAGAGTAGAAAATCCAAAAAGTTTGATGAACCGAGAAGCTGATAGGAGAGCTCTATAAATAGAACATGGTCGAGGAAGATGAAAAGAGGTTTTCATTGAATGGGAATGAAGAAACGATTGAATGCAAACAGAGGATTGAATATTCAGGGAGTGGGTAAATAGATCGATCAAACGGAAACACGAAAGGGAAAGAGAGGAAGTCGAAAGTCAGACAAAATCTCTGTGGTTTCGTAGATTTATGACCTAAACTCAAACCAGGCATAACCAAAATGATTTTCGTACGAAAACCAAACATGATTCTATCTGAACAAACCGATTCTGACGTGGCAGATTTGAGCATTATTATTGGCTAAATATTTATGCAAACGTGGACAATGTAAGCAGCCTCCATTTAGGCCTTTTAATAGTGTTTGATTTATTTCATGAATGATTAAATATCAGAAAAAATGACAAAATGAAAAAAATGACATATTATTTATATTTAATAAATATCTTTAAATTTAACTAATTATCAAATAATTTACCAATAGTTATCAAGTAATTTGTTAAAACTTTACAAATAACAAATAATAAAACAAGGCAAGTAATATTATGGCTCAGCCTATGGTTGGTCCAATCTTATGATCTCTCCCTTTTTGAAGCTGCAATGTGGAGTCCTCGTCCTGTTAGCTGATTTCAAGGCCCGATTTTCATTCCGGACAGTCTCGTTGGGCTCTACGCTTAGGGTCGGGAAGGTCTGGCTATTTGGATTCAGTTTAACAGATGTGCCTTTGCGTGTTGGTGACATCGTGTTGTGGTCTTGTTTAGGGTCTTTGATTCGGCTAAATTGTGTTCTGGTATTTTAGTGTGATGGAGCTTTTAGTGAAGTTTAGTTTAGCTGACGATGGGAGTGGGTTTAGCAGATTATTTTCGCTTAGTAGTGGATGCAGCGATCGCTTATCGATTCGGTTCTTAGTGGAGAGTCGTTTGGTAAGGCTTCGTCTAATGGTGTTTCTGTATGGGCTTCTTACGTGGAATAATTGGACGCGTTGCGCGTCATATCTATATCCGTAGGTTTTGTGAATCGTGAAGAGATTCTACCGGTCGGGTGATGAAGTCGCAGGGTTTGGGTTCTTGGACGGTATCGCATGGCGTGCGTGGGCAGCCGTGATAAGTCGTGGTGTAGGAGATAAATATTTTCGCGTGGCAGGGCTAAGGGCAGCAGTGGAAATTCTCGATCACGGTCCACTACAAAGGTGCTCATCCATTTGCTAAATTGACTTGTCTTTCTCTGTTGGGTAATTGTTTATGTTCATGATGAATGGGCTTCAGTGTCCCTTCTTATGGGATTTAGTTGCTGAGGATATCTTTCTTTTCCTTCAGATTATGTAGTAGACTTTGTATTTCATCTTGTTGATCGTCCCTGTGTGGGTTTGAGGCACCTCTGTGTGGGTTCAATTAGCTGCTTCCTATGAGCCAAAATAGCCGCTTTCTATGGGCATCTAGTTGTATTGTGTTTTCAGGTTTATGAATATAATCCAATTTCGCGGAAAAAAAAAACTTGCAAGTCCATCAATTTTTCACAAGTATTTAAAATTGCAAGTACTCGTTTTTAATAAACCAAATACAAATCTAAAATTTGAATACTCGTACTCGGCTTGTGCCCACCCCTAATATTAAGGGCCTCGATTCTTTTTAATAGCATGTTTTTCAGATTTGAGCAATATTAAAAGCATAATATTACATAATCTTTATCTAAAATCAAATAGAAATATTTGTCTGATGCGTGTAAAAAAACTCAAGAATAGTATTTAAAAAGAACAAAATTAACTCGTTATAGGGCCCTAAATTTTTTTGTCACCCAAGGGCCTCCGATAATGTTAAGCCGGCCATGTCTCTATCTAGGAGATTCATCAGATGTTCTGTTCCAATAGCCCAATGGCGAAGTTTTGGTATGATCACTGGTTCATATTGGGGCCACTTATTGATTTTGTGGGTATCAATAGTCCTCAGTTAATGGGAACTAGGTGACCGGCCCGCACCCTGTGCGGGTATATACAGATTCAAATTATGGACTTAATAATACAAAGTTTTAAAAGTAATAGATTTTATATCATAAGACCACCGTCTTTGAGGTGAAGCATCAGGCATAGAAAAATGCTGGTACACAATATTTTACATGGAGGAGATGGAACAAAGTAACTTCAGTATCAATAGGTAGTTATTGTGTGTATTTATAATTGCAACATCACAAAAAATTTTGTGTGTTGAAGGTTGAATTTTATTTTCCAAATATCTGAAATTAATAGTGTGTAGTTTTATAAGTAACATATTTTCTATTATCACTAATTAGAGTTGTATTGTATATGTGTTGTAATTCTTAATTTTAGGTGAAAAATATTATTATGCATAAATTTTTCGTAAAATATATGTAGACAGATTAAAAGAAATGTTACACATATCCCTCTCGCTCTCTCTCTCTCTCTCTCTCTCTCTCTATCTCTCTCTCTCTCGTTATTATGATTTTGGGATAATGGAATTTAATTAGGTCATTAAAGATTAGTACATTTGATACATCAATTCACTTTTTGTTTCAGTGATCTAATAAAAGTTATAAGAAAATACTATGAAAAAGAAGATGTAATAAAACTGAAGAACTTATACGACAATAATGAGAAAATGCTTTTATTATTAATTTATAACATTACAATAACGAGAATTCCACAAAGTAAAACAAAAAATTCAATTAATAGAAATTCTAACAAAAGCCACAGCTTAACCAATAGAAGAGTATACTATTGATAACACGTTCTAAACTTAAACAACGTCAATGAGCTTCCGTTCAAAAGCATGATTGATTCAATCTACTCCAATTCTGAAAGAACATGTAAAAAATTATATTTACCCAAACACAATTTCTAATGACGTTTTCTTTTGATAAAAACATGAGTTTACTTGGTTTATCTGTATTTTTTCTTTGGTTGCATAATATATCTTGTGATAGTTTTTTTCCAAGTAGCATTCCAAACGTTTTCTGGATTTGTGATACTATGTGTTAGTAATAGGACACAAAACAGCTTGCGTAGATCCTTTGCTGATGTCCAATAACATGCTTCTTTAATAACTTCAATATTTTCTTCATCATAGTCCTTGTAGATAACATAAGAAGTTATTTTTTTTCCATATCTCTGTTTTAGATTCTCAAAATAGACATTCATATTTTGTTAGTTTTTTTAAGTACACAGGCACAAAAGTTATTTTTTCTAAAAAACGTCATTAGATTAAGTTTTGAAGAAAATAAGCAACTTAAAATGTAAACCATAAGAAAATGTAAGATATATATATAACAGTGTTGATATGGTTGCACGATAAGTTAGTATCAAATACTATATTCGTATTATTTATTACATTCTTTTTATTGCTATATAGATGTTCTGAATTTAATGCGTTAACATAAATCATTCTTAATTATTACCAATCAATCTTGTGAATTAAATAAGTAATATAAAATAAGAAGAACAGTTATGAATTAAAAATATCCAATAGAAACCTGCAAAAAATTGTCAAATTTGTTAGCAACTGTACA